AGTAGCAGCCGCAGGAGTAGTAGTAGTAGTAGTAGTAGTAGTAGTAGTAGTAGCAGTAGTAGCAGTAGTAGCGTAGTAGCGGCGTAGTAGTAGTAGTAGTAGTAGTAGTAGTAGTAGCGGCGTAGTAGTAGTAGTAGTAGTAGTAGTACTACTACTACTACTACTACTACTACTACTACTACTAGCGGTGGCGGGTGTCGTTTCGGTTGCGGTAGCAGTTGCAGTAGCGGTTGCCGTAGCGGTTGCGGTAGCGGTTGCGGTAGCGATTGGGCAGTGGTTGCGGTAGTGGCGGTGGTGGTGGCTTTAGCGGTGCCGTTGCCCTCACAGTCGTCATTGACACCAGCTACCACAGCACCACAACAAAGTCATGTAAACTTGAGAAGATTTTGTTGCAACACTAGCTCTCTTTCTCTCTCTCTCTCTCTCTCGTTCTTGGGCGCTGTTTGTGTTATCTAATAATTTCGTGTTTCTGTGATGAGCAGCATCAGCGTCAGACTTGGTGATAATCATGTGGTGATACTAACATGGTTGCAACTTCGACAAAGATGATGACGACCGCAACTAGGGCGACTCTACTGTTGATGCATTCAACTTTGCAACCCCGACCGCGGGCTCGAGGACTCAATCTCGCAACATTTTCAGGATCAACATCCCAGCTACGTGCGATAAACAGATCTTACAGCTTCTACGATAGCCAGACTGAGGAGTTGGGGCTGCTGTTTCGGAGATGAAGGTTTGGGATGAAGGTTTTGTGGACCGTGTATTCGGTTTCACCGCTTCGCCCCCTCAGAAATCCAGATTTGCAAGCTCGAGGTTTGGCTTTGGGACCAAATGTCTAAACTGGAATTCTTACATCCCAGGCTTCAGGCTTGGGCTTCAGAGCGCTATGTTCAGGATGGAACGTCGGCTGGCTGGCTCTTCGAGAGTAGGCTGCGGAGCCCAGGATTGCCGAAATTGATTGCGGCTTCTGGGGTCCAGGGTTGGTAACTCATGGGTGTAAGTTTTTGGGCTGCGACGGCTTAGGCCGAGCTGGGAGCTAGGAATGCAGCCGGACTTGTCATTGCGGCATGCATCGAAACCTCGAGATCAGGATCGTGCCTCGGGTTTTGTAAAGGTCAGGTCTTATAGCGTTCCAGGAGTCGCTGGAGATGCTGAAGCTGGCTGCTCTCACATCGTCAGATGCCGCCGAAGTTCGGCCCCCAAGGGTACCGTCCCGGAGTTTTCTGGACTCCAGACCCTCAAATGCAAGCCGAAGGATCCAACACCCTTGAACGAACAAATCATGTAGGGCCTTGGGAAACAAGCGAAAAGAGTGCAAATGGATATGCATGTGTACGTATACGGATATATAAAGTATAGATACAGGGCACAGGATGAACTTCATGCAATGTATGACGATTGTGTGTCTGCGTGTGGGTATGCACGTATGCACGTATGCATGTACGCATGTATGCATGTATGCATGTATGCATGTATGCATGTATGCATGTATGCATGTATGCATGTATGTATGTATGTATGTATGTATGTATGTATGTAGGCTATATATGTACTGTATGTACTGTATGTACGTACGTACTCTACATATGCAATATCTCCAGTATGGGAAAACAACATGGAACGGGAGAAGAATGTGTATACAATGTACACATGTAGACAGCGAGTATAGGTGTCACGTATGTCTTACTTGTAGTACATATGTGTATACGAATAATCACAAGCATCGGCCTCTGCACCAGCTAATATCGCAAATGCCATAGCATGCATATCCAGTTGCGCCACACACAGACACTAGCAAGACATCAAACACTGCGGCTAGCAAGAAGATGTGCAAGCTGCATTCGTGACTGTGTGACACACTATAGACGATGACATAATTTATGCTGAAGGCTCACGTGTAACGGCCTTAGTCATCATCGTTGCTATCATATTTACCAGATGTGTAGTTATCACTATCATCCATCGGATTTTCGGGGTCCTGAAACCCAAGCCCTCTCATTCCTCAGTGGCTGAGTATGATACAGCAAACTTTGGTGCACAGGTGGGTTGCACCTGGTCTTTAATCCCCGGGCATCGCTTCTAAACCCTCCAGGCTGCGCGAGCATTGCGGCGGCCAAGGCGGTAACTGGAGAGACAAAAGTGAAACTCGACTCGACCTGTCTTCAATCGAACCTCGTTAAGTCAATATTTTCCTAACTTCGAGGCCGGTTTAGCATGTGGTTCAGGTTTCATAGATATCTTATAGAGGCACCGGAGTTTGGAAAATATCTTGAAGCAATTCTTAAAAGAGCTGGTGCCAGGCTCCAAAGCCACCTGCACCCGAGCTCTGTTCCTTTTTGGAATTCATCTTCGCTCTGTCTCGTCCTCCACTTCATGGTCCAAAAAGACCGTATCCCACATAAACAAGAAAGATTTAAACCTGTTCGATCGCGGGCATACCATGAGACCAACATCACGGCCGACATCCATTCGGGACTACAGAACCTGAACTTCATCACTCACGTAGTATTCTGGTGAGATTCGGAATACACGATCTCTTCACGGCACCTGATGCATGTTGCTGATGGTGTTGTTCGGGTTCTCTCCGGATGTCCCCCCAAGCGCGGAGGCACGAAATTGAAAAGACTGTGCGGCTCGTCGTTGACCCGAAAAGGTCAGCCCTGTAAGCTTCAAGCGCAGCTTTTTGCGTAGAAAGGTCTCTTCAATCCTTTTGGTGGGGCTGGTCTACATCAGGCTTCCATGCTAGATTTCGATCACAACAGGAGTCGACTGCAGTGAGGATCCCTGACAGGAGCATCTAATTTCAAGTCCCATATATACATTTTATCCACGTTCCAGGTGGTGGCGCAGGCGCACGGCCCCTGTCGGAGTGTCAGTTGGCTTTCGGAGGTGTTTGAGGTTGTGAACACCATGTCCCTACGGTGCAAAGCAAGGCCTGAAGTATTGGAGGCTCAGGCAGAACATATTCGTCTTCAGGAAGGGTCTGGCTTTAGGACTCAGAAATCCAGTGGATAAGTTCGAGCATTCAGGACCTGACACAACATCACGACAAAACTGCCGATGCCAAAGCTCAAACCCTGAGTGCTGTAAAATCGGGAATATGAGATGAACCCTGCAACTTCCGTCACGGAAGTCTGAGATATCTCTGCCCCACGCCGTATATCAACATCCGCAGCAACTACACTCAAACATTCCAGCTCCAGGCCCCCTGGCCCCGAAACAAAACCCTGCAGCTCAGCGAGCTGCCATGCCTACTACGGCCGCAGCCAGACAACCAGCACCCAGCAGGTGCGTGAGCGCTCTGCGCCCCATCTCGGAGCCTTCTGTCTTGGGCTGCAGTGCTTGGAGGATCAGGGGCCTGGAAAGTAGGGCGCAATTCAGTAATTCGGCTGATTCACACGCCTACTTACTATGTCCCTGGTCGTCCAAGTGATGCCAACCGCTTCTCCGTGTCCGGATTTGGAGCCATAGTCTTACTCAAAACCTCAGCTCCCCTAGCCTACTCCACTACGATTGGAGCCGTGTGGTCGAGGGAACCGGGAGACGCGATGTCGAGTTGCAAACACAGTGTTGCAAGGGAATGTGGATGATGAGGTGCCAATTCCCTACATGCGAACTTGCCATTCGCAGAGAAGGCTGTCCACTCAAGAACCCCAAACCCTACTAGACGCTCCAAGACTTCTCTTGTTGGCGGTCTGAGGTTTGACCAACGCCCCGTCGGGTTTGGGCTTTTGGCTTTCCCAATCAAGGAGATCTGCTCACGTGTCCCTGAAACCTGTTGGGCTGCAGGTCAAAACCAACCCACCGGACCGTGAGCCCTTGAGCCGCCGTGAGCCCGCAAACACTGTGATCCACGATTCGAAAGCGAGCTGCCCTTGCCTGTCTCCGCATGGAAACCCAAAGCTCTACACAGCCCTCAAAAGCTGGTGATTCCTGATTCTGGCTTGGACTTGCAACAATTCTTCGACCGTCGCGCCAACGATAGGAACAGTAGCCATAAAATGCACGAGTTCAACCCCAACAACCCAAAGACATGCCGAGTCTGAAACACCCAGCTTAGAACCGCTGTCGGCACCTTCGACGCGGTCCAAAAGCTCCTCGTCAAGGGTGGGAGATTTGAAGTGTTCAGCAGGCTGTAAAGCTTCGCGAGTTTAGGCCTTCACGCCTGGGAATCTGACCTTTCGAGCTCCACTTTCGGATGCTGATGGGATCAGAGGGTTGAGAGATTTGGGAATTTCACATGCAAGTGTGCAGGCAAAGAGGTCCAGCGACTTAGGGGGCCTGTCGAGACGCAGCCCTCTCGACGTCTCACTTGTGATGCCCATAGATCCTTGTAGGGCCCCGAACCGAGCTCTCTGTACTTTCACATCACCCATGTCCTCCTATGTTCATGGCCTTGTCTCCGGGACAGAGGAACTACTCAACTACTCACCGGAGCCGTCTCCCACATAGTTCCAAGGGTCGCGTGGCACAGCGACCATTCCTCGCCGGGCTGGGTTGCCTCGGACCATGCAACCTCGCATGCTTCCAGCAGTCGCTCGCACCAACCCCACGGCCACACGGTGGCGCACAGAGATCGGGCAACTCGGTCGCCCCCAAGACGCGTAGTTCCTCGAAGGGCTGGTGCTCAGCTGGCTTGTGCGTGCAGTGGGCCTTCAGCATGAGTTCCTTGGCCAGGTTGCCGTCGTTGACATCCACCGCGGCCTTATACTGATAGGGCTTGCCGTTCTCCGGGTCCTTCAAGCCAAAGGCACACATGCACACCGTGGCCCGACACACGGCCTCCCGCTCCAACATGTAACTAAGCGCCAGGGCCTCGGAGCCGGCGGGCTGTACCAGCACAACGAAACGACCCTGAACCACCTGCAGTTGCCATAGGTCTCGACAGAGACGCCACAACGGGAGGTCGCGGCGCCGCCCTTCCAGAGCTCATCATCCTCGAGGTGACGTCGTGAGCTCAGGGCCTTGAGGCGCTGAGTCAAGCCCCGATTGGGCCGGTGGCTTTTCACATTAGGTGCCACACCCCCGGATCGTTCAGTTTCTGCCTCATCGAGCCTAGATGGCCCCAAAAGCTTCCGATCTCCTTGGCAAAGAGGTGACTCAACCACCTTGGATTCCTTTTCCACCTCTTGTCTCCGTCGGCTTCTATGGCACGCTTGGCTCTGATTTGCCATAACAGCCATAACAATTTCTTCCACAGGTAAGCTCTCATCCGACTTGCCATAGACGCCGTCACGTTGTATGCAGGCTCGTAGCTCCAGGCATTGCTGGTTCACTCCGGTCAAGGCCTTTCTCCTGTTCTGGGCCGTTTTGGCTTTGGCGAGGGCCACCTCGTCCGCTGTCAAGCCGGTGGCCTCCAAAGGACTCGTTGCCGCCGTCGAAGCCGTGGCTGGAGTGTGCGACGCACGTCGGCCCTTCACCGTCGCGGTCTGAGGTCGAGGGCCCGCTTTCCTCCGAGGAAGCTCCCCTTCCGGAGGCGAGTCCACCATGATGGCGTCCACCTTCTTGAAGTCCCCGTCCGATTCCTCGATGGTCGGGCACTCCTTGGTCTTGTGGTCGGGGCTGTGGCAAAGCTTGCATAGCGGGACACCGCCGGCGGCCATTGTCGGAGCACTCCGGCTCCTTCCGATCTTCTACTTGCTTGGCTGGCAAAACTGCATCACACACGGGCACTGCATCCAGAGTCAAAGCCATAGCAAAGTCCTCAGGCAGACGAACGCATCCAACGTCACACTCATCCACACTGATAGTGTAGTGCCCACTCTCCCGGCCCACTCCATAAGTGCGAACCCCGAGCTTACGTGACGAAACCGCATGGCGTTCACAGTCAATCACCCCACCAAGCTGAGAACATCCCGAACGTGAAAACAACGGCGGACACTTCCCCTCCACTATGCTGAAGCCGTAGATAAAAATTGCCTGCAAAGAAGCCCACAAAGGACAAACGGTACTTGCTGTTCAAGACCTCGCCACCTCCAAACTTGAACGCCTCACACTCTTTCTCAATGCTGTACCAACATCCCTCGTTATGCCATCGATGTAGTACTTCATTGACCCACTGAACCCCAGCCACCGACCTCATACACCCCAAATCGAGGATCACCTTGTACGCTAGCTCCTTGAGTGACCACATGACCTCCCTCAGATCCAAGTCAACAGAAAACACCCGGTGCGTAGCCCCCTTATATGCCGCATCTTCGGAGGCCCCTCGCTGCGAAACTCGGCTTCCTTGGTAGAGAGCCGCAAGGAGATCGCTGTTGTCGGGAGCTGTGGTGTTCACGGCTGAGGCGGGCATCTTGGAGGACCGCGTCGCCAAGACTGCCTGAACATTCTTTCCGTTGGTGGGGCATTCTCGCGACCAATGCCCCAGCTGACCGCACGCATGGCAGGGGCGAACTTTCATCTGCTCGGCAATCAGCCGCTTCCTCTCCTCCTTGTCCGCCCCGCCGTCCGGCTTCTTGAAGAACTGCCTCATCTTCTTCACCTCGGCGATGCGTTGCTTTGCCTTGTACTGCACCCCGAAGGCCTCGTTCTCCAAGTGGGCCAGTTCAGGAGGAAGCTCCCCTAGCTCGCCGAGCTCGCCGTCTTCCCCGGACTCATCTTCCTCCGGGATCGTCTCACCGTAGCTCTCGGCCGTGAACGTTCCTCTCTGAAGAAGCCATTCCGAGCAATGTTGGGCTCGGACGCCCCGATGGGGACTCCATTCTCCCCTTCAGGCTCCGAGGCCAGGTCAATCATGGCATTGGTGACCAACTCCTCGTCCACATCCGTCCCGGCCTTGGTCTTGATCATGGCCCGGTCCCTCTTGGTGAGCCTCGCATGGTCCAGCAGATGGCCCACATAAAAGGCCTCCCCCATTTCCAAGAAGCTGTGGAGGCCCACCATGCAGGTGACTCCTGTAGATCCCCGCCCTCGTCACATATGACTCCAGGGACTCTCCCGGAGCCCGCGAGAGTTGGAGGAGTCTCCTCCTATGCTCGTCCACCCGGTGCTTGTCCAGCTGGCGGATGATCGGGGCTCTCTCCAGGGCCTTGAAGATCTTGTCCTTGCCGTCCGTGCCGTTCACGTCCTTATTGGAAAGGTGTTTCACAAGTTGAGCTGCACGGTCCTTGAGTTGGACCATGATCCTCGGTCCAATCAACTCCTCCGATAGCTGGTCCCCTTCCCCACCTATCCAAAACTCCACACTCCTCACTCAAAGTAGCTCTCCTTGGGGCTTCGCGCGAAAGGCTGGCGGGTAGGTGTTACTCACTTTGGTGCCCTTGCGCCCTTCGCCGGCGACCTTCACCTGGCCCTTCGGGTCCTCCTGGTCCACGTCGCCGCGGTACGCCAAGCCGTCGTCCGTGCCGTTCTCGCGAAAGAGGCACGCGCTGGTGCAAAGCGTGCTCCATTCAGGATCCTGGCCGCCTTCGGAAGGCGTTTTCCAAGACCAGTTCTCGTCCCAGCCGCCTTGTAGCGGCCGCTTGGCTTCCAGCTGCTCCCTGAACGGTCCTCCGGGCTTCGGCTCTCCCAGAAAACGAGCCCTCCCAAGAGCCGTCCTCCTTCCATCCATCCCACTGTTCTCGGCGCCGTCTCGTAGAACCACTCCACCATCGAGAGTCGTCGTCACTCGTCTCCTTCCCAGTGTCCCTGTCACTGGAAAAGTTGTAGGCACTCTCGGTCGGGCCTTTCCACTTGCGGGCCCCGGTCGCCCAGTCGCTCACCGGCTCAGACTCGCCCGTCGAATCGTCGAGCCCATCCGTGGTCTCGCCGAAGGCCTCGTAGTAGGACCTCATGTTGGCTTCTCGAAGCAAGGCTGGCTGCAAGCCGCTCCACACCCGCCGCTCGCAGGCGGCCACACAATCACAAACTACACAAAGTCCGGAATCACACCCCGGTCCCCCTCACAGTGGCCGCCTCGCCGAGCCGCCTTCCCTGGATCGTCACACAGGCTCCGCTGCCAGCGGAAACTGACAGCTGCAAAAGTGCGAAACGCCCTCGCACACCTTCTTTTCACACCTTGCTTCCTTCAGCCAACATCGAGGATGCCATTTACCGCTCGATTGACTCCCCATACCTCCAAGAACTCTTAGACCCAGATACAAAACGGAAAGGACCCAGACATAGCCGGAAGCCGATTTTAGCAGCAGACAGTCTCATACAGTCTGTAACACACGCACGGTGCACAAGTCTCCACAATCAATGTCCCATCGGTGCTTTTATGGCATAGGGCGAGGAGTGAGGGGTGCAAGGCTTGAACTTTAGCTTCAGACAGTCTAACACACGGTCTATAAAACGCGCAAGTGTTAAGGGTATGTTGGCTCCAAATGTGATGTGCTAAACCGAAGCAGCTAAACTGACAGTTTATGGCAAACGGTCTGGTCGGAGAAGCTCCGGACCTTCATCACCGATCGCCCCCCCAAATTATGAAAGTTGACACATAGCCTCTGCACAACTAAACCCAAAACCAGAAACCGCAGTTATGACTGTGCTCTCCTCCGTGCGCACCTGACTTCGCCAAAGCAGAAGCCGCCTGAGAGCGCTCCGCGTGGCCATCAACATCCGTAAACATGCTGGAGATCGGGTCGAGGCTTCAGGGCACCCTGAGAAAGGCTTTGCATCTTCTGACCTCAATGACTCTGCCCAAGCTTGTGAGCGGAAACCATCAGGTTTCCTTCGGGGGCCACGAACCAGGGGCGCGTTCTCCACAGTTGCACAACCAGGTTCACATACGCTATGCAAAAGGACGTTCAAATTTGATCGGACTGCATCAATGCTCTTCTAGTTCTTCTAGACATCCATGAACCCTGAACCGCAGGAATCATGATCTCATTTTCAAACTTTGATCAAACCTCCTGGAGACTAATCACTCCTACATTCCTGTAAAAGTCCGACCTGGCACAGCACTGTCGATGACAAGCGGCGTTTAAGGCTCAGGATTGAAACTGTCACTCAAAGCCAAGGACCAATGATTCGTGGCGATCTTAAGCTTCGCATTGCAGGATTTGTGGATCACTTTGAGGTTCGGGTGGTCCATCCCAGGCGGTCAACTCAAAACCAAGCTGCTGGAGAGCTTCGCCGCAGACGCTACTCACCTTGCTTTTTTTCGCAGTATTGCTCAGAATCTTGTGAACATGATGATACGGAGGACCATGAATGGTAGGAGCAGAGCATTAAGGCGAGAAGAAGGGCTTCAATGCTGTCTGCAGCATTGCTTCGCACGACACATTGCCGTAAAAGACTTGAGATGCCGGGCCCCTTGGTGGTTTCGTTTTGTCTTACTACTTCGTCCTCCAACAAGGACACCTCATCTCAAACCCGAAGTCTGCAGAGTCCTCAAGTGCCAAGGAGTCTGAAATGTCCCGACGACCACACAGTTTCGGAGACAGGCTTTAGCACGAGGCTGCAGCTTGAAGAGTTGAAGCCCCACACTTAGAATGGATCGTTTAAGGCCTCGGGTTGTATCGTGACCCCATCCCGTGCCTGCCTTCCCACATTAACTTCTCCTAAGGGCCCCTGCCACAGTTGCGGCCTTCTCCGTCCGCATGGGCGGCAATGCCTTAGAAGTCAATATGGCAGGGACATGGATATGGTGCTTAACCTCAAGAACCATTTAGGAAGCATAACCCCTAAACGGTTTGGCCAAAACCGACAAGCAGCACGAGCCAAGGAATCGACCTCGAGCTCCTGGTGGCTCTTGCTCAAAAGGGCCTGGGCGACAGGCGAAGATCTAAGAAAAATGAAACCAACACGGCGCTACTTCGAGGGAGCGGCGGAATCCGTGAGCCTCCAGGTCTCAAATCCCCGCACTGTGAAGACCCAGAGCTGCCAGTGACAACCGGAGCTTGTACAGCTGGAAAGCTCCAAGTTGCGCATTTCTTTCCTGTGGCCTTCCGAATACGAGCACCACACGAGCTTCCGCTGGATGGCCAGCGTCTCCTCCTGTGCGTCTCGCAGCGCATCCTGGCAAGGGACGGTGCGACGAAAGGAGGCTGCGGTGCTCAGGACTCAGCGTACAAGCTTCGCAGCTTGAATGGTGCAAATAGTTTATCTGCAAGCCCTCCTAGAGAAGCTCGCTTCTGGCTTCGGACCTGTTGTTTAGCAGTTTGGCTGCTTCGGGGTGTCTGGCCCGAGAGCACAGGGTCGCAACCCACCACTGCTCTCCTGGAGATGGATCACGTCTGCCTCTGCCGCCTGGCATATGGGAGGGCTAGAGCCCTCAGTCATGAACCCAGCGCCATGAACTCTTAGCTGCAGTACCGCCCCGCTTCAGCTTAAAGTTTCTGACCCTCCAAAGTGAAAAATTCCAGCACACGGCGCTCAACCCCAAAACCAAGTCCTCACACATCATCCCTGTCAAGCCTCAATCTCATTCTTGGTGTTGGCCTCCTCTTCACGAACCCATTTCACAGCCTGCTGCTTCGAAATCAAGGCGAGGATTCAAGCTTTGCTTTCGTCGTGGATGCTTGGCAAAGCACGTTCGGTCGGTCGCCTTTCTACATTCGTGCTGATCATAAGCACATCAGTGAGGGCACTGGCATCTCTCCCGGTAGGGATCGCAGAAACGTCCCCGCCCTTTCCTGCATGCGACATCATCAAACATTGAAAAGGACACCTGGTATTTCCCATCACAAGTAAGCAATGACTTGACAACAGTAACAGAAGATGCCTCATCAAGAACGACTATCAAGGCAATCCCCAGTAAAGCAGCACTCATTCACTGATTGCTCAAACTTGGGAAAGTATCGGCTAGCTAACACGAAATCAACAAACCTGAGAAGTGCAAGACTGAGGCATCTCTGCTAACGCCCTTTCCGCCTCAAACATGGACTGATTCTCCTCTGTGAGGGTCTGCAGCTCGTTGCGCAGCCCCTTCAAAGCTCGGAAACTACAAAGCCAGCCCTAAATCCCCCTTTCCCACCGCTTGAATCTTCGAGCCAATACTCCTGAGCCCACTGCCTGAATTTCTTTCTCCTCCTCGCTCAGTGGAACAGAGCGTTTCTCCTGGCAAGGCAGTATGGTCACTAGGGCCTACAGACTCTTCCAAACTTCTTTCCTGCAAATCTTAGCCCAAACCAGATTCAGCGGAGCCTTGAAGAGATTAAGACTGACCAGTCCTTTCTTTCCCTCGCGATACCAATATCTCCAAACCTCAAGCCCTGAAGCCCGGCTGCGCTCACCAGGACCAGAACTCGAAGCGAAATCCAAACCATAAAACAACCAACCCGATGCGAGGGAAAGGTGGGGAGCAAGCGAACAGAAGAAGCTCAGAAACAAGAGTTTCAAGATCTGGTGCAGAATTCAAAGAAATCCAAGCACGAAATGCATTGGTAACGCCGCAAAACCTAGCAGTCCCTTCAGCCCTTCAATCCTCAAGGCTCTGTTCCGAAGAAACTTGACCCAGCCCCTGCAAGGGCCGAAGGCCTCAGCGCTTCGCACGCTGTCCTCGAGATTGGCGATCTCCTGGCTTTGAGGGGTACTTTCAAGCTGTAGGCTGCTTTGGGGCTTTCGGGTTTCAGGGTATACGATCTCTGATTTGGATGGCTGCATTTTTCGAAGGGTTGCCTCGGCTTTCCCAATTCGTCTCTGCTCATTTTCTGCATGTTGGCTCTGCTCGGACTCGCGAAACACTTACGCGTGGCTTTCAGACTTGTTTAAATATTTTTTTTGCTCGCGACAAGTGGCTTTGGATGTTCAAGCTGAGGGTAAGGTAACAAAAGGCAGTAACGGACAACAGGGCTGCACTCTGCCCTTCGTGGCCTGCGCCTGCTTTCTTCGCTGCATCCGCTGCGCCCGCTGCGCCTCCGAGGCTAGGCTAGCAACAAACCAAGACCCTCCACGTCTGGATTCGGACAAGGCAAATCCGCAAATCTCGCGGAGTCTGGAACTTTGAGGCAGGAGAGCAATGCAATGCCATGAAATCTGACATGCGATAACATCCGAAAAAACATCGTTCAAGATCCACGAGAAACTCAATCTATGAAGTGCCACACCGTCAACCCCAAAGACCGGCGCCCTCGACTTCCGAAATCGTAAACCCGAAACCCTGGAACCTGAAAACAATTCCCCGTACTTAGCCCCCATCGAGCCCTGAATTCACCCGCAACCGGCACTTGTTGCCTCGGCGAGTTCCGCCCTGGCCTGTCTCGGAACGCTGGGCAGGAGTCTGGGTTAACATTAGGAGTAAGTTTAACGTTTGGATTTGCGGCTTTCTAGCAAAACAGTTTGTGGGGTGTGATTGTCGAAGTGGGGGCAACAAACTTGTGGGCTTCACGGCTTTTCAGCCAGTAGGTAACAGCCTTTTACAGCGTGTTGAGAGCGGAGCTCGTGGCCTGCGTATGGGGCCGTGGGGCCAAAGTTAACAGTGGCCATGCTGATTTGCATCGCGCTGCCTGGCAAATGCCGCCCACCTTCTCCACGAGCTTGCGCTTCGCCTCCAGCTGTGCTTCGCGCTTCGCCAGGGTACCTCCGCCGGCTGCGGTGCTTAGAAGTCCGCAACATGTCATAAGGTCAGCGACAGTGGCAGCAGCGGCAGTGGCAGCATTAGTGGTAGCCGCAGCGGCGGAGCGGCGGCGGGGCGGCGGCACCCAGAAGCCAACCCAGCAGCAGCAGCAGCAGCAGCAGCAGCAGCAGCAGCAGCAGCAGCAGCAGCAGCAGCAGCATCAACATCATGAACAGCAGAAGCAGCAGCATGGTCATCATCAGTATCACAGCCATCATCGCCAACATCGTCAATCATCCGTATCATCCTCGACACGATCGTCATCAGAATCGGCAGCAGCACCGCCATGACCGCCGCCACCAGCATGACCACCAGCATAAGCAGCACAAGTCGCATCGGCATCCGCATCAGAATCAGCATCACCATCATCATCATCATCATCATCATCATCCGTCTTCAGCATCATTAGCATCATCACCATCATCATCATCATCGTCATCATCGTCATCGTCATCGTCATCAGCATCACAATCACCAACTACAGCAGCAGCATTCCCAACATTGTCATCCTCATCCTTACCACCACCGCTCGCCTTCCTGCTCCAAACGCCGTCTGTTCGAAAGATCAGCTCGCGCGGCTTCCAGCCGCATCACCTGGTCCGAACAGGCTTTGCACGGACGGCAACAGATCTATTTGGTGTGTGGTCTTGGAGGTTTAGGTTTTCGGGTGGCGTCTTTCCAGAAGGGGGCAGGGGCGGGGTTTCGGATCGAGACTTGGAAACCATGCTTGGGCAAGTCAACAAGTTACAGCTGACCAGCTCCCAGTCCAAAATCGGTTTCTGATACTGGATTAATGCAACGGCAGGAATCGTGTCCAGAGCTTCAGGCACACATGGTGGCGGCTGGCATCCCGCATGGTGGTGGCTGGGCTAGATCCAAGTTTACTCGAATTTGTGGAAGCAGTCATTACAATCAATATGCCAGCTAACGCATCACTAGGGGTGGATCTCCAGTACAGGATTTATGCATCAGGTTGAAGTGCCTGCAGGGCCTGCATCTTTCGGATGTGAGCTTGAGGTTCGTATTTACCAGTTTGTTTCGAGCTTCTGGTTTTGCCCGGAAATGCCCTTCGAGGACTCGGTGCCTGCTCGGCTTGGAGGTCTGTCTGGCAAGCCTCCACAAAAAGGTCAGTCATGTTGCAGTTGGGCTACGTGGTTCTTGATTGAGGTCTGGATGTAAGGCTTCAGGTCGATTCTTGGGGAATAGAGGTTTTGTGCTTTCTGGAGTGGCTGTCTTGGTTCCGCGATAGAGGCAGGGGCTAGCTGTAGCGATGGTGAGAAGTATGCTATCGGCAAAATGGTTAGTACAAGATTGGCAGTCACACTCTGTACAAGAGCTCGTCTGCAGGCGTCTTGAATGTGCTCTCTGGATACACCGCCCGGGACGGCAGTGCTTGCTGTGATCCGAAACTGAGATCCTGAGATGCTGCAATCCAAACCCTGTCGCAAACTACAAATTCTACACCCTTTTCGTTCATTCCAAATGCTTCACTTACGTTGTAAACCTGAATCCAAAGTCTAGAAGACACTCTCATCAGTCACCACGAACTGCTTTCTCTGCGAGAATTCTAGAACGATGTCAGGAATCTCTGGTATTCCTGGAGCACAACACCAGCCTGGAGGTTTGCGAGTCGGGCTTTGGGTGTAAAGTTTGGGGGTTTGCCGTACGCAGCGAAAGCCGCCAGCTTCTGCTACCTCCAGATCCTGATATGTCGAGGTCAGACTCAGCCAGGCAGCAAACCAAAAGTCGCTATTTCCCTACACCCATGCTCTACATGCGAATGTAAGGACGATTCCGCAGTTCGGGATCTTCTGCTTGGGCTTAGGGTATTGAACTGGCGAGAGAACATGAAGTAAGCCTCTAAAATCCCTACACACTGACACGCCTGGACCCACAACCAAAGAACACAGCATCCTGCACGCGCCTGAGACCGCACATGAGGCACAGCCTGAAACCGGGCGGCTGGAGTGTGCCGGGTTCATTGGCTTGGTGATATTGCTTTGGGGTCCGGATGAGCTGCCGTGCTTGAGTTCGCTAGTTGGTTAATGGGCACAAGGCCCAAAGTTGGATACATTGTCATTTGCCATAAAAGCCTTCGAATACTGATATATAGGCACGAAATACCTGCAACAGTGGATGCCTTTTCTACACCGGAGAGAGTCTGGGTAATTGCCAGCGCTTTGCAAAGGCCAGCATCGAAAACTCGGTGAGACAACAACATACTGATGGAAACAGATATAGGAGAAGCAGCAGAGACCCATTCACACTTCAGTGACCATCTCACAACTCATCCTCGCAATGGGTCTTGATGGTGACGTCGGAGGTGGCATACGTCACGCCTGAGCTTCTCTTGCACCCCCTTTAAAAACCGAAACTGAAGTTGTCCTGTTTGGGACGCGGTCTCGTACCAGAACTAACAAGATTTCCTGGAACATCCAGGTGCAGGTCAAGCAAAAGCCCTCGCCCATCTGGTCGTCGTCCAAGAAGGCCTGATCGCTCTGGTCAATCTCGCCCTCAAGGACCTTGCCAGCGCAGCTTGAGCAGGAGCCCGCGCGGCAGGAGTAGGGCAGCTCCAAACCCTCCTCCTCAGCCTGATCCAGAATGTACACGTCCTCAGGGCATTCCTTGGCTGTTCGCTGCTTCCGTGTTAGCGTCCGATGACACAGAAGACTCGCCTCAAACAAAGGCCCTGAAACTTGAAAGTTTCAACGACGGCAGGAAAGTGCTGCGAGGATTCGAAAGATTGCGTGCCATCGGGGGTCTCGAGCGTCACCTTGAAGTGGGCCGGCACACCGGGGCGAGCAGGCACCGTATTGACGATGGCAGGCACATTGCCGGAGGCCAGAGCACCACCCGACAACGCCTGGCAGCCCATGTGGACGCTCTGCTAAGTACTGGCAAGGTGCGACTCTGGGAAGCCATTGGGACCGAGCGTCTACTGTTT